ATTCTCGATAGCTTTTCCATCTATTTTCAGTTTCCTTGATCGGTAAGAAATGAGCGGACTTGGTTAATCTATCGACGACTACCCAAATAGTATCTTGGCCACCCTGAGTTTTGGGCAGTTTCGTTATGAAGTCCATGGAAATCTACTCCCATTTCCACTCAGGTATTTCAGGTTGTTGGAGTAGCCCTGAGGGTTTCTGGTGTTCTATTTTTATTTTGGCGCAAGTCAAACACTTGCTCACATATGTAGCGATCTCCGCTTTCATGTTTGGCCACCAGTAAAGTTGCTTGAGATCTTGATACATCTTGTCTGACCCGGGGTGTACGGAGTATGGAGTCTTGTGTCCTCGCTCATAACTACCTCTCTGAATCCACCAAACTTGGGTGTCCATATTCGGTTCATGAGGTAGCGTGCTCCGTCACTCTTGATTTCTAAGTTCTTGTCCATTCCCCTAAGGGTCTCACCTATCACGTTTTCGGGTTTCAAGGCCTCTATTTGAGCTTCCTTGATTTGTGCTGACAGGTGCGAATCGATCGACATGGCTAATGACTTCACTCTTCGGCTAGAGTACTCCTTACGACTAAGGGCATCCGCCATGACGTTTGCCTTTCCCGGATGATAGCGAATCTCACAGTCATAGATGTTGAGTAATTCGACCCAACGTCGCTGTCTCATGTTTAACTCCTTCTGGTCGAAGATGTGTTGGAGGCTCTTGTGGTCTGTAAAGATAGTGCACTTGGTACCATATAGGTAGTGTCTCCAGATTTTAAGAGCGAAGACCACCGCCCCAAGTTCTAAGTCATGAGTGGTGTAGTTGACCTCATGCGTTTTCAGTTGTCGTGAGGCATATGCAATAACTTTTCCCCTCTGCATTAGCACACAGCCCAGCCCTTGCTTCGAAGCGTCGCAATACACCACAAAATCTTCGGTCCCCTCTGGAAGAGAAAGGATGGGTGCACTGCAAAGGGCCTGTTTCAAGTCTGAAATGCAGCATCTTGCTTTTCTCCCCAGTGGTAGGTCACACATTTCTGGGTTAAAGCGGTAAGAGGCTTTGCGATGCTGGAGAAATTCTAAATGAACCTTCGATAATAACCAGCAAGACCTAGAAATTGGCGAATTTCTGTTGTAGTTGGTGCAGACCAGTTTTTGATAGCCTTGATTTTTATGGATCCACGTGGATTCCTTCCTTGCTGACCACGTGACCGAGGAAGTCCACCTTTCCAATCCAAAACTCACATTTTGAGAATTTTGCATACAGTCTCTCAGTCCGTAACGTCTCTAAGACTTGCCTCAGATGTTGACTATGCTCTTCTTTATTCTTTGAATAAATGAGTATGTCGTCTATGAATACTATTACAAACTTATCCAAGAATGGACGACATACCCGATTCATTAGATCCATGAATACGGCCGGGGCATTGGTTAGTCCGAACGGCATCACTACGAACTCGTAATGTCCGTATCTCGTTCGGAAGGCCGTCTTGGGAACATCACTCTCCAGGACTCGCAGCTGGTGATATCCCGATCTCAGATCGATCTTGGAGAAGTAGTTGGCTCCTTGGAGTTGGTCGAATAAGTCATCGATTCGGGGTAGGGGTATCGGTTCTTGATGGTAAGTTTGTTGAGTTCTCGGTAGTCGATGCACATTCTGAATGATCCATCCTTCTTTTTCACGAACAACACGGGTGCTCCCCATGGCGAGAAGCTCGGCCTGATGAATCCTTTTCCAAGTAGCTCATTCAGTTGGCTGGATAGCTCTTGCATCTCTGTCGGGGCTAATCGATAGGGTGCTTTGGCTACTGGGGTAGCTCCGGGAACCAGATCGATTCTGAACTCGACTAGTCTCGTGGGAGGTATTCCCGGAAGGTCCTCGGGAAAAACGTCGGGAAAATCGCATACGTCGGGCACATTCTTGACGTCCTGGACTTCGCGTTTCACATCTACAACATGTGCCAAAAACGCGTGACACTCCTTGCGTAGGCATTTCTGAGCTTGGATACTTGAGATGATACGAAGAGTGGTACTGGGTTTGTCGCCCAAGACAATGAAAGTTTCGCCGGTTGGCAGATTAAGGCGAACGGCCTTATCGTAACATAAAATGTCCGCATGATGAGAACTCAGCCAATCCATGCCAACGATGACATCGAAACTCTTAATCGAGACTGGCATGAGGCTGATTGAAAAGGGATTATCGTTTAAAGTTAGGGTGCAGTTTAAGTATATCTCCTTAGTGCCTTCGGTTTTCCCGTTGGCCATTTCTACTATGAATGGTTCACTTAATGATTGTGGTATTGATTTTAGCAGGCCTTTAAAGTCGTGACTCACAAAACTCCTTTCCGCTCCACTATCAAACAAAATGCATGCATACGAGTTATCGAGAAGAAACGTACCCGTAACAACAGTAGGGTCCGCAATGGCTTCATCTTGTCCCATTGCGAAAACTCGGCCCCTTCCGCCGGTATTCCGGTTGTTTCCTTTGGGCAGTCCCTGCGGTAGTGCCCCGTGTCTCCGCACTCAAAGCAGGCACGCTTACTCCGGTATTAGCATGGGGGCGGATGGTTGGGTTGGCTCTTTGCAATAGCGGGTTGTATGTCCCTTCTTATTGCACCTGGTGCATTGAAGATCATGGCAAGGACCGTGGTGGTGGAATTTGCATTGGTTGCACTTAGGAAGTTTCCCATTATATGAGCTTGTGGGGGCAGGGTTGGCAGGTACAGTCATAGCGTGGGTCGCTACTACTTGTTGTTTCTTGGGGTTCTCCTGGAGGGTTTGTCCCCTCCTCTTGTTCCAAGGCCTACTCTGGCCCTGAGCCTCCTTAGATGGATTTGCGGTTGCTGCAATGGTACCCTGTTTTACTCCGTGGTCGATGAGTCGCTGAGCCAGGCGTTTAGCGTTGTTGTAGGTAATAGGGTTGGAAGCTAGGACATACCCTTGAATCTGGGGTGACAACCCCCAAATGTACCTTTCAACCTTCTTTGATTCTGGGTTGACCATGGTAGGGGCACAAAGTGAGGTCGTTGAACCTAGCTGTGTAGGCGACTAGGTCAGTCAGACCCAATCATTTTCAGATTCCAGAGCTCCTGCTCAAGCTTTTGCACTTCGCCTCTTGGTCAGTATTCTTCCAGTAGTAGTAGAACCTTCAGATCTTCCCAACTCATGGCATTGCGACAGTGAGCGTCACCGAATTCACATGGCTTTTGCACCAAGTGAGTGGGCTCGATCTATGAAGGTGCAAGCAGTGAATTTAACCTTGCTTGCTTCTTGGCATGACCAGATCTCAAAAACTGTTTCGGTCTTTTCGAACCATTGCATTAGCGCAATGAATCCTCCAATTCCATTAAAGGTTTTTGGCTTAGCGTTAGAGAACTCCTTGTAAGTACATTCTCTTACTTGACCACGACCAGTGCCATGATTTGAATGATTCGTGCTGCTACCTGTCCCTCCATTTTCGTTGGAGTTTATTTGCGAGAGGGCTGCAGTTACTGATGCTGTGATAGCAGCCTGGACCATGGTCGGATCATACGTTGGTGGTGGAGGTGGTGCCGTGCCCGGTCTGGGCCTTAGGTTTGGACGAGGAGGCATCGCACTGCCAAAAGAAAATGAAAGATTTATAAGTTTTCGTAGTTCAGAGTTGAATGATATTGAGTCAACTTTTAATAGTTCTAAGAAATTGGGTTTGACCAACACAGGGTTTTGAGCTTGAAAATAAAGTTTGAATAGATGTACTTATGAATTGAACGAACTACACATAATTAACAACAAGAAAAGGGATATGCCCTTATATATATTCAACATATAGTTGTGTTACATCTGAGTCTAGACAAAAGTTCTTGACCTTTCTAAAGGTCTCCGATTACAGAAATTTTTTAAGAAAATAATACTTTTATCCGAAGTCCTAATTTATAACAAAAATTGAGAGTCGGGCAAGTACTACTTGCGGTGCGGTTTGCGCTTGGAGCTCGACTCCGTGTCGGACTACTTTGACTCCATGAGGCACCTATCAAACGCAGCTTGTTGTTCCCTCAATTCTGCAAAGGCTGCATCTGCTTGTGCTTGGAATGCTTCGGCGCGAAGGTGGATGTCATTCTGCAACATCTCTAGGCGGTTGATGTCGGCCGTGTGGATTTGTACTTCCACGTTGACCTCTCGGATTCAGTTGGCTTGTACTCCGGATTGATAGCACTGGTTGGCGAGTTTGCCAACCATGACCGGAAGTGCTCGGTCTGCTGATCCCCCACCTCTGACATCATAGAAGTCTCGGCACATGCCGTAGGGAGGGCGTAAGCTTTGTTGTTGGCTCCAAATGATGGAGGTGACTTCCCCACACAGGAGTGGGTCCTTGGAAGTTCCTCACGTGGACAGAAGGTTGTGGGATTGGTGGATTGATAATTTCTGGCTCCGAATCTGTGCTAAAGTCATCTCCTTCCTCCAACTCTATAGGCTCTTCGTCTTCTTCAGGATCTTCTTTGATCCATCCTCCATTACCTTGGTTGGGGTAGTAGGGGTCATTGGGGTGATGGAATCCTACCATTTAGTCTGTACGAGAATAGGGTTAAGAATTTACTATAAGCTAGAGCACATGAAACTTACCCTTAAGTTTAATGGTTGATGACAACACAAAAACTCCCTTAGTATTATGTAATGATGTGCTTTTGGTAAGTTTTAAAAGACAAAACTGCAAATTTGGTCCTTGTGGTTTGCCAAAACCTTTGGATGGGGTCCAAATAGTTTCCAGCTTGCACCAAAGGTCCAAAATCAAGGTTTTCATGGGTTTTTAGTCCATTCCGTCATTGACCGTTTGTTTGGAGCCGTTAGTGCCTTCACATGCCTTCCATGTGAGGGCATTTTGGTCATTTTAGGTCCTAGCCTCCGTTGCCGCCACTTTAATTAATAAGATTGCAGACTGTACTCACTCCTTCGTCTTCTACTCATACCTCTTGATTCAAACGCAAAAACCCTAACGATCGTCTGAAAATTGGATTGTGTTCATGCTTTTGAAAATGTGGGGACTTAGAAATGTTGGAGAGATTTCAACGTTCAAGAAGTTTATGGTAAGATTCAAACTTAGAAAACTCTATTTTATGATCAAGCTTCAAACTTTGAAAAACTCTAACTAACAATCGTCTCTTTCTGTTTTGAAGATGGTTACCCCAACATATTCTCTATTGAACTTCATCACGGAGGGAGTTTCACAAAGTTTCCAAATATCAGGTATATTAATGGCCAAGTAAGGTACTTTGATGTTGTCGACATTGATGAATTTTCTGTTCATGAACTAGACTTGATGATGAGAGAATTAGGGTATGATGGTACTGAAATCATGTATTACCATTTCCGTTTGCCTAATGAAGGATTTGACTTTGGACTCCGAGCATTAGGTAACAATGATGATGTGCGTAATCTCTCACGGTATGTTACCCATAATAACAAAATGATTAAAGTGTACACAGAGCATGGTCAAACGAACTTGCTTACATATTTTATGTCCCCAACTGGTCCAAGAAGGGTTATAATAGAAGACATGGAGAAGCAGGATTCCATTAGACCCTCATCACCTGTAGTTGCTCATGAAGTGGTAACTCCAATCCAAATTGATGTTGGTGAGGGTGATTTAGGGTTAGCATTAACCTTATACAAATCAGCAACACCTGAATTTAGTAGGTCTAAAGGTTGGAAACATAGTAAAGGGGCATCGTCTTGTAGTAGAAAGCTTAACTTGGATTGGGAAGGTGCTGAAAAAAACAATGGCAGTGGTGAAGTTGATAAGGGTAAGGATGTAGAATTTGTAGATGAATTTGTTGTAGTTGATGCAGAAAAAGAGTTAAACAAGAGATTGATGTGAATGAAGAACTTGATGTGAACAAATCCAATGGTGAGGGTGTAGAAGGATTTGCAATGAGGGGTATAGAGTTGTCATGGATAATGATCCTGAAGGAGTCAATGAATTTTCAACTAACATCAACATAGATGATGAGTTAATGACAAACTTTCAACCTTTTGAAGGGTTTGAAGACCAAGATAGCATCCCATTTAATGGGTTTGAAGCCAAGATAATATTCCTTTCAATGATGAGTGGAGACAAGAGGAGCCTAATGACATTGCGTTTGAGAATCAAAACAGTGAAGATGAAGATAGTGACTTTATGATTGATGAGGACAACATAATTGAAGATGTTGACGTTGACATGGAGGATTTCAATCTAAATATTGATACAGAAGCAAAGTTCAATGGATGTCAAAGAATGGGTGGTCAAAGAAATGAAGATAGTGATGAAGAAGATGATTTGGAGGTAATTGACAATGACGAGTGGGATTCACTAAGTGATGACTCAGGGGACAACAGGAAAAGAAGAGAAATGATCAAAGAGCTGGGGAAACAAACCTTATGTTCTGCTGGTGAGGTGCACAAGGTAGCTTTTCATATTGGGTAGAAATATAAAGCCAAGAAAGAATTGAAAGATAAAATTGACCTGCATGCTTTAGAGACAAGGAGGAATATCTCATTCACAAAAAACGACAAGAGTAGATTAACAACTGTTTGTGATGGAACTGTAGTTTTAAATGCAAGTGGGGTAGGTGGACCTACCTCTGGGAAAAAGGTAAAGGGTAAAGATGTAAACTCAGATAAAGTTAAATGCACATGGAAACTTCATGCATCTAGGTCAAGTGAACAGGACTATTGTTTATTAAGACCTATAATCAGAAACACATCTGCCTCCAAACACGAAAAATCAGATCTTGCACAGCAACATTTCTTTCCAAACGTATTATGGATCAGATTGAAGCTAATCCTGGACTGCCTGTTCGTGCCCTACAAGAGCAACTCCAATCAACTTAAGGAGTTAGTATTTCAGAAGAGAAAGCATTTAGGGCAAAAGCATTAGCCACCAAAAATGTTGCAGGGGATTACGTAAAGCAATATGCAGCTTTGAGAGACTATGTACTAGAGCTACAAAAGACAAATGAAGGTACAACTGTAAAGATTGATGTGGTTTCAGAACCTGTGGTTTCATCCCCAACCAGGCAATTCAGAAGGATATACGTGTGTTTATGAAACGACCCAAAAACACGACCCAAAAATTTTCGTTTTTCCATATAATCAAAACCATAATATAAGTATCATAACATAAAACATACGCGATGTATCCCCAAAACATAATAAAATATTGTGCGGAAAACTGTATCATACTACATCAATCCAAAACATCAAGAGACATCCCCAGGATAAAAGCTATGCTGTGGTGTGTGCGATGCTGTCACCCCGAGCTCTTCCCTTTGCTTGCGGAAGTACCTGAAACCAAACTGAAACTGTAAGCACGAAGCTTAGTGAGCTCCCCCAAACTACCACATACCATACAATAACATATAAACACATATTGGGCCTTGCCCACTGCATCGGGCCGAAGCCCGGAAACTGCATCGGACCGAAGTCCGGAACTGACTGGGACCTTGTCCCCTGCATCGGACCGAAGTCCGGAACTAACTGCATCGGACCGAAGTCCGGAACTGACTGCATCGGACCGAAGTCCGGAACTAACTGCATCGGACCGAAGTCCGGAACTGACTGGGACCTTGTCCCCTGCATCGGACCGAAGTCCGGAACTAACTGCATCGGACCGAAGTCCGGAACTGACTGACTGAACATGGCATAGCATAACACATCAACTAGCATAACACATATACGACATGCTACATCGGGCCGTGGCCCGGAACACATAATACTTAACACATAAAACATAGCACACAAATCCTGTTCGAGCCACGAAGGCATCGAACATACTAACTACTGCATCGGACCTAAATCCGGAAACTACTGCTAACTGAACGGGCCGGCATTGTGGCCTTAGACCCGTTCCTACTGGAAGGAAACTCACCTCGTAAGCTGGCTGCTGAGTGTGTGGCTCGGAAAGCTAACGGCGGCTGCTCCTGAATCTCCTCGGCTACAAGTCCATAAACACACTCAATCAAATACTAAACACTGCGCTTGGGGTAAAATGACTCTTTTACCCTCGGTCAAAGTCAACTCTCCTTTGGGCTGACTCGCCGAGTTGGGCCACCCAACTCGCCGAGTCCTACTCTCACTTTTCACTTTACTCACTGCTACTCGTCGAGTCTGGCATCGACTCGACGAGTACCCTCTTGATCCAAGAACTCAGACAATCTTCATCCGACTCGCCGAGTCGTATGAACAGACTCGACGAGTTGTTCTTGATCCCAAGAAGATTGCCTTGGACTCGCCGAGTTGATGAACAACTCGCCGAGTCCCTCCATCACTGAGTTCACCCTCAACTCGCTGAGTCCACTCTCTAACTCACCTCGTCCACTCGACACTGATAAAACTGAAGAACTCGGGACTCGCGACCCAACTCGTCGAGTCGTTCTTCCGACTCGCCGAGTTGCCGCCATGCAACTGATTTTTACTTGATTTTGTTTGAATCCAATGCATACAATTGATAGATCTGAGTCCAATAAGCTGATTTACCACGTAAAGTTTCCAACTTTACGTACAACCTCATGAATAAGGGAAATAAGGCTAAAAGATGCATAAAATGGGTAGATCTATGGTTATCATGCAATATAACTCCAAAAAGACAGTAGATCTGGGCTCTACAACACCCCAACATTCAGATCCATAGATATTCGACTTAATAAGACGTTCATGCAAGTGTAAGGCTTGGAACAAGCATCAACTAGCTCTTAGGAGAGCTCTAATGGAAGTTTAAAGCATATAACAAGATGGAACTCCGAAAATACCTCAATTAACTCTGATTTGGCCTTGGATCTTTGCACTACAACACTTCTCCTTGCTTCTTCCTTCTTCTCCTTCTTCACACCTTCACAAAATGGCACCAAAACACATATAAGCTCTTCAAGGGAGGTTTAGGGTTCTATCACTGCGTTCTCAGGGTGAGGGAGGCGAGAATGGGGGCTATAAGGTGGTATAAATAGTGGGCAACCCGGGGATTTAGGGTTTCACCCAGACAGATGGACTCGCCGAGTCAGGGATATGGACTCGCCGAGTCCCCGGCTCACGCGTGCCCTCAGGCGCGACCCTACTCGGCGAGTCAGGCTAGAACTCGCCGAGTCCCTCTTGAAAAACTCACTATAATTACCAATAAATCAACATACCGGGAACGGGTCGTTACAATTCTCCCCCACTTGTCTCAGACTTCGTCCTCGAAGTCTGCTACGGCTGGATCTGCAAATAACTCCGGGTAGTGCGCTCTCATTTCCCTTCAGCCTCCCACGTCCATTCAGACCCCTTCCGGTGCTGCCACTGCACCTTTACTAGCTGAATTACCTTGTTCCTCAAGGTCTTGGTCTTCCGTTCCAGAATCGCGACCGGCTTCTCGATATAATTTAGGCCGCTATCAACCTGAATGTCCTCTAAGGGAACGACTGTCTCATCCACCAAACACTTCCTCAACTGCGACACGTGGAAGGTGTTGTGTATCTGACTAAGCTCCTCAGGGAGATCTAACCGATAAGCAACCCGACCCACCCGGGCCAAAACCCTGAAAGGACCAATAAATCTGGGGCCCAATTTGCCCCTCTTCCGGAACCTGATGACACCTTTCCAAGGTGAGACTTTCAGAAGAACCATATCTCCCACCTGGAACTCCAAGTCCGAACGCCTCCTGTCGGCGTAGCTCTTCTGCCGACTCTGCGCAGTCTGCAGCCTACTACGGACCTGCTGGATCAACTCAGTCGTCTTGAGCACCACTTCGGTGCTCCCGATGACTCGCTGACCGACCTCGCCCCAACAAATCGGGGTCCTGCACTTCCTGCCATATAACATCTCAAAAGGAGGTCGATCAATGCTCGCATGATAACTGTTGTTATACGAGAATTCCGCTAACGGAAGATACGTATCCCAACTGCCCCCAAAATCTAAACACATGCCCTAAGCATGTCCTCGAGAGTCTGAATCGTCCTCTCGCTCTGCCCGTCAGTCTGAGGATGAAAAGCGGTGCTGAAATGGAGACGAGTACCCATCTCGTCGTGGAATCGCTTCCAGAATCTGGACGTGAAACGAACATCTCGGTCCGACACCACCGATACCGGCACTCCATGACGTGCCACAATCTCTCGCACATAGATATCGGCTAACTTTTCCGCCGATATACTCTCCTGAATCGGAATAAAATGGGCACTCTTCGTCAACCGATCCACTACTACCCATATCGAGTCCACCCCGCGTGCGGTCCTGGGGAGTTTGGTGACAAAATCCATGGTGATATCCTCCCATTTCCACACGGGAATGTCTAACGGCTGCATCTTGCCGTGAGGTCTCTGGTGCTCCGCCTTGACCTTCCGGCAGGTCAAACATCTCTCCACATACCAAGCGACATCTCGCTTCATGCAGGGCCACCAATAATCAGGTCGAAGATCTCGATACATCTTCGTCGCTCCTGGGTGGATAGAAAATCGAGACTTATGAGCCTCGTCCATCAATACTTGCCGTACCCCACCCCAGTACGGTACCCATACCCTACCATGAAGCGTCAACAAACCCCGACTGTCGTAATCAAATGAAGCTACTCGGCCCACTATCCTCTCACACTTCTGCCTCTCCTCCTTGAGGCCCTCCATCTGAGCCTCCTTGATCCGCTCCAACAACGGAGTGATCACTGTCATCCTCATACACAGATCTCTGATAGGGGCCGTCGACACCTTGCGGCTCAGGGCGTCGGCCACCACATTGGCCTTCCCTGGATGATAAAGGATCTCACAGTCATAGTCCTTCAGCACGTCTAACCATCTCCTCTGTCTCATGTTCAAACTCGGCTGATCCATAAGATATCGCAAACTCTTGTGATCCGTGTATATAGTACAGCGGACCCCATAAAGGTAATGTCTCCAAATCTTGAGGGCAAACACAACTGCCCCCAGCTCCAAATCGTGGGTAGGATAATTAGCCTCGTGAGGCTTCAACTGTCTCGAGGCATAAGCTACCACATGGCCTCGCTGCATCAATACTGCTCCCATACCTGTGATCGAGCATCACAATAGACTACGAAATCCTCTACTCCTCTGGCAAGGTAAGGATCGGAGCCTCGCACAATCTCTGCCTGAGAGTCTCGAACGCCGCCTGCTGCTCAGGCCCCCAACGAAAAACCACCGACTTCTTGGTTAGTCGGGTGAGCGGCACTGCTATCTTGGAGAAGTCCTGAATAAATCTCCGATAATACCCTGCCAACCCCAGGAAGCTCCGAATCTCAGATGGAGACCTCGGGACCTCCCACTGCATCACGGCCTCAATCTTGGCCGGATCTACCAAAATACCCTTCTGGTTGACGAGATGACCAAGAAACTGCACCTCGCGCAACCAGAACTCACACTTGGAGAACTTTGCGAAAAGTCTCTCCCTCCTCAAAGTCTCCAACACCTCCCGCAGGTGCTCCTCGTGCTGCCCCTGTGTCTTGGAATACACCAAGATGTCATCTATAAACACTATCACCGACCGATCCAGCATCGGTCTGCACACGCGGTTCATGAGATCCATGAACGCGGCTGGGGCATTGGTGAGCCCAAATGGCATCACCACGAACTCATAATGACCATACCGGGTCCTGAAAGCAGTCTTCTGTACATCCTCATCTCTAACCCTCATCTGATGATAACCGGAGCGTAGATCGATCTTGGAGAACCAAGACGCTCCCTGAAGCTGATCAAACAAGTCATCTATCCTCGGAAGTGGGTAACGGTTCTTCACCGTTACTTTGTTCAACTCCCGATAATCAATGCACATACGATGCGACCCATCCTTCTTCCTCACAAATAAGATCGGCGCTCCCCAAGGCGAACTGCTCGGCCGAATGAAACCCTTGTCTAACAGCTCCTGAAGCTGTGTAGACAACTCCTGCATCTCAGGGGGAGCAAG